CAAGTTGCCACAACCAGCGGGTCTGGGGAAGGCTTACTTCAAGTGCACAGGCTTCTGTGATTAGAGTCTCAAGCCAGGAGCGTGATTCTGGAGGAAGATAGCAACGGAAGTAGGTATGTGACGATGGACCTCCATCCTCCAGATGCTCACGACTATCAACTTCACTGGGGGGTCCATGTCCTGTGTATAAAGTGGAAGAACACAGCCGGTTATACCAGAATACGTCCATTTTCAGATGGATGCAACAGTAAAGATCTGACTAGAGCAATGGGAATCTCCTAGTAGGTTTACACGCATTTCCAAGTTTGATATACTGACGTGATCCCAAAACCCACTAATAGAATGCAAAACACACCCTCTCGACTTGTTGATCGGTGCCGCTGCTGGTGATGAAGGTATCGCGAAGTCGTACCGCTAAAATATGGTGGTGAATTTTTTGAAGCAGCCACCGAAGCGACATCCGACGTGGAGGACATGATGGCAAGCGCAACAGCTGCCTCTGCCTCGTAAGGATCCTTGGGATTCCTTCCATTCAGCGGACTCACCTCTCCCTCAAGAGAATTTCCGTTTCTACCACTGCCTTCTTGTTCTTCAGGGTCCTGAAATGGTAGTAAAAGGATGTGTGTACAATGTTCCCCATTCGCAGACCTCTGGATACCACATGCTGTTTGCCAATTCTGCTGCCGCCTCCACCATCTTCTGCTTTAGTCTCGGTTCACAAAGCACTGCTGCATACTGTTTGTCTCATCTGCGTGTGTGTGGACGTTGAGGCACGCACACTGCACGAAGTACTATGTCCGGCTTTGTATTATGGTGGAAGTCAGAAGCCAATCGTAGAGAATCACGAATATTTGTAGGCTTACATGTTTGTATCATCCTCCGGCGTGGGAGGGGATTCCTACCAAACCCCCAATTCAGTTCGAAGGCACCACTAATTTGTGCAAAATCCATGAGATTAATGGAATTATAATGTTGAGCAAGCAGCATGTTTAAAACTTGCTACTCTGCATATCTTCGCTGGTGATTTCCTTTTAATCAATTAGTACCAATGCGGGCGAGATTATTTCTCTGAAAGCAACAATTAAGTCTCATGTTGATTCACGCATTAACTTCCCACGAGTTTTGACTTGAACTGCGTTTGGTGTGCATGGTGCCAACTTTTGAGGAACGTCTTATTGATAGGATTGCGTTTCGCCCGAGTGCCATAACACGTGGCTAGACTCGAGTATATATCACAGAGCGTAGGTTGCTTTGTCACCTATGCTGCAATGTTGTTGACCATATAATGAATTGTGTAGTCTAAGGTGTGACTTGTGTACAAGACGCACTCCATTCTTGCAAGGCGCGTGGAAATCAGAGTGTAAAGCCTGCCGGCGCCTAGACAAAAACACATCTAGTAATGGGGTGTGGAAAAGTGTGAAACACTCCCCTGAACATTGTCAGTGACAGCGCCTTACACGCCGTCACCTTTCCAGACCGTGATTACCACTCAGCGATACTACATTGAATTGGAAGTGAAGCCGGTCTGAAGGTGAGAGATGACTTCTCTTCAGGCGTGAGTCAACCAACCTGGGCGTCGGTTTGAGTGTGGCGGGTGCGGCCCGTTTGTTAGGGTCATGCACCACATGGAATGGATGCAAGGCACTTGTTTCACGCATCCTATCAGATTGCATCCAGGTTTTTTTCAAAAATATAACCCACTGATTTAAATTTTTTAGCTTTGTAGCTACATACAGAGTGGTACAAGTGCAAATGAAACCTAATAATTATTATTTTATGATTATTGTCAAAAATCACAAGTAAATAGAATAACATTTTTTTGCATTATCTTGAAAAAATCCCCAACATGTAGGCATGTTTCCTACATACAAGAGTGCCTGTTTTTTTTACTAAACCTAATGCTTTACTCCCGATTTATTGGAAGGAATATGAAATGTGGAACATGGAGTTCAGCAAGCCGCATAACTAAATATGTAATTTCTGAAGTATTTGGTTAGGGACTTGACACAGGGGTTACGTTGGAACTTGATGAGTTTTAACTGTTGTACCTCATATGATAAAAGGCCTCTGATAGGTTATTTTGACCATCACCTTCGAAAACCACATACTGAGATCAGGGGCCTTAGTTACGAAGATTGATGCCTAACTAAGTTATCCCCCAGCTTCTGAGTACTTACATCTAGATCAACATGCGGATCTTTACGCTCCTTATGAGAAAGTGGGACAGGAATTTGGGAGTTGTAGGGCGATGAGATCTTGTCTAGATGAGGGAGGGGCCTACTACTGAACTGGTGACGGTGGTGCTCATCTGCCATGCTACGAGGTGCCGTGGTTCTCAAAACGAGGGGCTGCATTCCAGGCGGTCGAGCGACGTTTGGGGGCAGGTGAGACTGAGGCAGCCCGCGAGGTCGTTGATTATGATATAGGGATGACGATAGAGTCTGGGTTGGCGACTGTCGGGGTAATGGAGGCAGTGACATGCATGCATCATCGCTGAAATTATTCCATGGCATCTGAGTTCCAGAAAATGTCTCGTATTCTGTCAAAGCCCTTCGTAGGTCGGGGGTGGACTGAAAAATAATCATATTATTTTGTCTAGCGGTGGCGGTATTCCCCCTATCACTTCAATAGTAACATGCATTTCCATTTTGTGAAGGAATTCCAACCTGAAATTTGCGTGTAATTAGAAACAGCTTGAAAATTCTACATGAAACACGTACCGCGGGAGGCTTTTAAGCATAACGCTCAGAGGGATAGCAGTTTATCAGTTAAGTAAAAGTATGGCTCCTTTCTCAGCAAAAAGAAACTGAGTAGAATGAGGCCCACATAATGTCGTGCGAGTAAATGAACAAGAAAGCGTAGTTATGATTAAAAAAGCTGGCCTGAAATTAACAAAACACGTTGTTCCAACTCACTAAAATCACAGTCCTGACACGTCTCACGAACGCAAATGCCCTTTCACACAGCATTTGGACAGCCGCAAGACTTGGAAGTTTCAACAGGAACGGTACTGAAACCAGGGGAGCCACAAGACCGGACGTGATGCTCGATTTCGTTGCCAGTGTTGGATCAGGGGCCCCCCTTGATCCGCTTTGTTCTGCTGCGATGCCTGTAACATAAGGTATTAGCTCCTCGAGGATAGGTATCACAACCGAGAGTTCAGGTCGAAGTGAACGTTCGCAACGGGGACAAGTGTAACGTAGACGCGTATAATCGTAATTCTAAAGCAAAGGTGACCAATACGTTAGTCAGTTAGCAAATGCTTACTGACAAGTGCACAATAAGGACCCACCTTATTTAGGAATCCGACACATCGCGTATGAAACCAGTCTTTACAGAGTTCGCATTGTAACATGAGCCCTGAAAAACCCGGCTGCCGACAAATGCAATAGATAACAGAGCCCTGGTTTTGGTCCTTGGATTTATGCAAATTCGATCGCCGCAAATAGTGGAGCAACTTAAGCTCGGTCTCAATCATTGGCGTATAGAAGGTGTCATACATGTGATCGAAATCGCCCCCACCTTTGAGCTCCTCCAGGAATTTCTGCAAAATAAAATGACACTGATACTTAGGAAATAAATACTAGCAACAAATACCAGAACTGGATGGGCGTAACCTTTATATCGCCAACACTACTACTTCAATATTAAGATCGATGGTTTCGCTATAATGGGACCGAGAATGTGAAATGTGGATACATAAAAACAAAGGAACGCTTAATGACAATCTAGAGGAACTACTACCAGAATTGATGAACTGCTTAGAATTTTTCCAAGTTCGCTAAAGGTCTATTAGTAAAATATCCACTCGAAGTCAAAGATACACTGCAACTGGTTCACATTCACTTGAGATAAAGACCGACGCAAAACACACAGATCAGCCCACTTTAGACTAGGTGGGAGGGGGCGTCGTATGAGTGGGATCTCCTGTTAGTGTTTGATGGCTCTGTGAAACCATACCATATACCATATAGAAATACCGAAGACAAAGATACAGATGACGACTACACACCCTGTGACCATCAGCAATCTTTGAAAAATGAAACCTCGCCTAAAAGTTCGTCCAGAAAGAGGGAGATGGGCGGATTTCTTTATCGTGGACCTACCGTGGCATTCTCCCCGCATGCGCTTGAGTACGCTCGGGCATCGACGCCAGCAAGACTAGAGGCCGATTTGCCTCCAGAACCACTAATCGTTTGAAGTCCGGTGTCGCGTTGAATTAGTAGTCCAAGAGCCGCTTTTGGTCGAGGCAGTAAGACTTCCAAAAGTAGTGCAGACGCTGCCGACGAAGACGTGTGTCCGTCCTCCAAACGTAAAAACACCTCCTCTATACGAGAGTAGCATCGATCGAGGACGGTTAACTGGGAAAAAGAAACGATGTTAGGGTCGGGTATGAATAGACGAAAAATATATTTCTGGCGGAAGGGATTTGAAAGCGTTCGTATGTGGCTGCCGTGAGTGTTCAAAAGAAAGCTAATACATATATTTCACAATAGCATTTCGACTATAATACTTCAAACCTATTCCTAAAGGAGGAACTGATGCTTTATTACGAATCACCCAAATGCCAACTCAAATAAATAATTGAAACAATCCGGGTTTCACCATATTTTCAATCCAATTCAACATCACAAATGACGCTAGTAACAATCTTCGAATAAAATTTGATCTGGAAACTACTTTGGTGATAGCTACCCAGAAGGATTATTTGAGTTTCTGAATAACATGAGATTAAGAGCCAAGTAAAGCACAACACATCAGCTCTTTACGCCTGTGGTCTGCCTACCAATCCACACCACATCAATCTTTTGGCCGATCTTTTGTCATAGTTGAAAATAAGCGCACCCAAAGCACACAACACTAATTTTGCCTTTACAAGTACCCAAAATGTCTAGAATAAGAAAGATTAAGCCACGTTCTATTTCTTTACCCTTTGTCGGCGCAAAATCAGTCAAGCCAAGGTGTCGTAATTTTCGTTTATCTAACAAAGCGTAACTCGAGTTTCGACTCTACTGAAAGACAAAGCGAATCCTACCAAAGTGTTTAGTTTCGTAGTGTCCGGAAAGACAAAGGGAAGCTGGTTGGAAGTGTTACAGAGCTCCTCATAGAAACTCAGCCAGAGGTGTGGAGTTGAATCAGCGGTATTTAACTTGAGGCGCTTGACAAAATCGTCAGGGAATCCATCGTCACCTTCGCAATCGTCATCGTCATGACTGGAACTAGAGGGAGGACACTTGAGGAGACGTTGAAAGGAACCCAAATCGGACAAAATGGAGTGTGCTTTCACACACAATCGATTCAACTCCTCCGAGGCGCCGAATTCAGCCTTTACATCGGCGGCCTGGGCGACCAGAGCTTCCGCCTCAGAGAGTTCACAAGAACCGTGCCTAAAAACGATTACGCTGGAATTGCAATACTATCGAGCGCATTGGAACCTAAGTTACCTATTGTAAACATGCTCAAAGAAACACACCTACTACCCACACGCCAATGCACACATAAACAACCGAAAAGCTCAGAGACTTTGAAAACGATGACCACGCTAACGTCAATTTAATAAATAGGAAAAGGAACCATGATTATGACTGTGTTCAGTAGAAGTGACTGAGCTACTGTTTTAATGACACATTTAAACTAGCCAGAAATAACTTTGCGATCGGACCATACAAACATGAAATTAGATTTAATTGACAAAGATCTTGTGTTAACTAGTTAATTGTAAGTCAAATTGCAAAAATATTGAATACAAGTATCTAAGACCTTGTAGATGTTGAATGTTAAACTGCAGTCGCAGCTACAGGGTTAGATATTGGGCAAGACGACTGTACTGGGGGAGGCATTTGCTTGACCTTCTAGGCGCAGATTAATGAAAACGTACATCGGGATAGCATTATTCATACCCGACTAAGGTGACATAGAACGGGGTGGAGAAGTCTTAAGCTACATACTACCAAAGTAGTGTGAATACGAAAAGATTCACAGTTTATAAATTAGGCATTAAACACAGCATAATATATTATATTTCAGAGGAGAAGCGATGAGGTGGCACCACAACCTGTTCTTTAAAAGGCCAAAGCTTCCGGTGTCTAAATAAAGGACCATTTGAAAATTACAGACCAAACCCCTCCTTGTTCAAACTTTCTGGATATCAAAGCTAGATAAAATTCAAGCCGCGAACCCAGTAGATATATGCCGCAATATTTAGCGCTATCAAAGGCAGGATATAACTGATTAATAAGTAATACTTAAGAGCAAACTCACGGAGACCCAATGACATTTTTGATGGCGCATTCCAGAAACTGAGCCTCACTGATTGCCTGGCAGAGTCGGTCACTGCCCCTCTTGAGAGCAAATTCAAGGATGGTGGTGGGTTTTGTTTCAACCGAAGATGTTGGCGAGCGATAATAGGATGCCACGCCACAAACCAAAGTCTGACCATGTGTTTCAAGATCCAGCAACTCGATTAGCGTGGGACGACACTCGAAAGAGCCCTCTTGGTTCAGCTTTTGGTCCACACACTTAAGCCACAGCAGGCAGTCCATGAGCTATATATCGAAGATACAAGTTGAAAAGACACTTTTTACTTCCAAATTAAAATAGTAATGTGTCAAAAACAAGCGAGACGTAAATCAGTTAGCACATAGTACGCGAAACGGAAAAAAACTTAAATGCCATAGCATCGAAGTGGATGCACGAAAACCATCTATATTCTCCATAAATTCCGTTCATCTTGTCTCGCGTTCCCAATGAGTCGTTACACGATTTTTATAAGATACATAATACCCTTCACGTCGCTTTAGTTCCCAGAGTTTGGTAATTGTTCATATTCAGGAGAAGGATTTCTTGTTACTTTAAGAACAGAAGTAGTACTATGCAGCACTAGGCCAAGATAATAAAAAACCGAAGACTCAACACTAGAAGCTCTGAATACACGTCAACCATTATGGCGTGGATCAAAACCCATTCAAGAAAGCTGCAAGAATGAATTATGGCTCAAAATAGTGTTTTAAATGCAGATTCTGAAAAACAGAAATAAATAAAAATTTGCAATGAAACTGGCCAAATTCGAGGCGCATAGAAACGAAATGCCCAAGCATTCACAGGTCGCACAATGTTTCAGGCTCAACCGAATTACCTTGAGTACAGGAAGCAGTATACAGTGGTTGTGGTAGGAAATAGTATGCAGAAGGTATCGAGAATTTTAAAGTATCCAGGAAAGAAGAATGTGTGAGGACAATTTACACTACAAAACCTGATAAACACAGTAAAATGCTCGAGTCGAAATAAGTTAAGGAACAGCAGCCATGGAATGACTACTACAGAACCACCCCGCCAAAGGACTCGAACAATTTCTGTTCGGAGTGATTTTGTACAGTCCAAACTCATTCAACAAGACCTGAATGCAGTGATGATTCAGTGAAGATTAAAGTCGATGCGGCCAGTGGAATCATTGTACTTGGTTCTAACGGTTAGACTTCACTATGAGGTGTCGAACGTACGTCGTGTGTCTTGGGAAGCGCACTCTCCTCGCCGATGAAGTAAAGCCCCACAGCACCAAAGGCGAAGCCCTGGAAGAGGTACCTTTCTCTGCAGCCCTAACCAAAGCACCGCTTAACATGTAACGACTCGACGTTACGCGGTTTATGAGCCGACAATTTCTCTGAAGTATTCCAGAGCATGGTAGTGCATGAAGTATCTGTGCTGAAGTGGTCAGCTGTGCAACCCAACAAAACACCTCGATTCAATCTGTAATACTTACGTGTTTGAGTTTTCTTAGATCCCGCAGTTCCACATCGACGCCTTCCGCGAACTCCACGAGTTGCTCAATTCTATCTACACAGAGGAGAGCCAGACATGGCTCCAAGTTCTGATCGTTCACAATGGGCTTTTCGGCCAGAGAGAGCAGCTCGTGCGTTGAACTGTACCAATCTGCTAGGCGTTGCTTGAACCGATTCAGATCCCCTAGCCCGGGAATTGTGCAGGGCAGATTATTAACCACTTCGACAAATTGATTAAACTCAGCTACGGTGAGCTAAAAAAACATGCGCTTCGAAGATGATCATGGAACATGACAAAAAAGCAAAATGAAAAAGAACCCGTCAGTATATTAGACCACTTGGTAGTGTCGAAATCGGTCGTGTTGTTGTGTATAGAATGGCAAATAATTGAAGACTATCGAGGCAAACACGAAAATGTATGCAAAACCGGTTCGAGTTTAATTTTAAGGTGGCGAGTACAGGCTGCCAATATGAAGTTATTTTACAGCGGAAGCATATATGGGGTGCTATGGTACCATTTTTGACACAAATAGCCTTGTTAATTCAGGCGATTTTGTAGAAAGGACCATCTTTTAAAAGTTGAAACCAAGGACTGGCCGATCTCACAAGGATCACTGAACTAAAATAATTAGACACCTGATAAGGGCAAGTGAATAATTGAAGTGTCACTTTTGTGATTCAAATTGGCACCGAGCCACTCGGTTTCAACAAGACAAGCTTGATAAATTCCTGTAGGAAGCGAGTTTTAACACAATGCTTATGGTGAAAGGAGTTTGGACCAAAGAGCTTTTACAAACCCCAGTTGAGTTGCTTAACTTTTAGCCTTAAGTCACATAGAAATACACGTGTTTACGGAAAAGTAACGTTCTATGATTCATTAGATACTTCTGCAAAAAGATCAGTGTTTGAGCCTTGTTCGACACTTGAAGTATGGTCGTAACAGGGTTTTGTCTCGAAAATCATAAATGTGCACACCGTTAACGATTGCCACAAATATTGCTTAGATGCGCTTATTGTGAGCCATCAGGTACCTAAATCAAAACTAACACCAGAAATGCCTCTAAAACACGATTGTGTCGGGAATGCCAAGTGTGAAGTGAATACACTAGCCAAAGCAAATTTGGCATTCACCAACACTTGTTTGAACTGGAAGCGATGTGTCGGAAGTGACAGTATGCCTTTTAAAATAAAAGGATTCAAAAGCACGCTTTAATGGGGAATCACATATGCATAATGAACATACAAGGATGAGTGGAGTTTCTAAGTGTCCATTGACAAAAAGAGAACTCTGAAAAGGCAATGCCAGTCAAGTTGAGGTTACATGTTGAAAGGAAATACAACTTAAAAGGGTCGTGCACCAACCTTTGTGACCGACGGTCCGTCGGGCAGATCCAATTCCGTGGATTCCTTCCTTGGTTTTCCCCCAGGCTGGCAGCTGGCGACACGCTTTCGAGCGGCACTGGAGACAGAAATTCTCGACACCCGTTTGGCCTCTCCATGGTCCTCTGACTTTTGTGAAAGAAGCGAACGAATGACGGAAGAACAATTCATTGCATTTTCCACCATTTTGCCAAGACGATTCACTAGATCTTCGGGGTAGCGGTTCTGACGGCCAGTTTCCCAAATATTCTAACCAAAGAAGACAATGACATTTAGGTGGAAATGAATTAGATTCCCAACTACAGGATCGACCTGTATTTTAAACGAATACAACTGCTCTTGTGTGTAGGGTACAAAAAGGTGCACAACTTTATTCAGCATAAGAGAGAAATCACGTAACAAAACGGAGTGGATAAGAATCTATCAAATAGATGCGGGAAGCTATGAACGTTCCTTTAATAAACTGGAAAATGATGTGAGTAGTTCTTGATATTCAACTTACTCCAGCACTTTATACATTTAAATGGCTTATATTTTATTTTCAACTGATTAAACATAATAAATACGAAGACATGGAATTGATATTGCAATAATGGAGGCGGTATTTGTCGACTTATGAAAGCCAATAGAGCCTTGATCACAGGCACATGGAAATTGGGGTTTCAAGTACTGAACAGTTACAGGAATTGAAAGAAAACCCAACGGGCAAATTAAGGTAGATTGTAAACATGAAGTAGCGAATAGTAATATTATCATTTATTAGAAGAAAAGTACCAGTCGTTGTTTTAAGCAGCCGTTCGACTGTTTTCTTTTTAACTTAGGCGTTGATTTAGCAGTCAGAAGTTTGTGATTAAGCTCTGTGCCTGGGTCGTTGCCTTCAAGCACAGATTTCATTCACTGTTGGAATTGCGTTTTTTACTTGTGTTTTGTACTTCTGTTTACTACCCATTCGCCCCACAAGGTTCCATCAAGGTAGATGTTTCTTTATAAGATTTACTAGACATTTATGACTTACAATAAGTTCCTGGATCGTAGACTTTTGATTCAGACAAATGGAGTCGGCTTCTTCTCGGATCTGCTCATCCTTGGACTTATCTAACATTACCATAAAATAAATATGAGGCAATTTGACGAATCAAAGCTTAAGTAAGAGGAAGAAGATCAAGGTTCATGCTAGTGGGCTCAACAACTGTCTGCAATGTTTTAAAGTTAAATCAGCGGAGAGGAACTGTTGTGAAACTGTTTGGGTCGAGGCATTTGTGTTTGAACCAACGGACTTCGAATTAAAAATCAAACGAATGCAAACATTTTGAGGATTTACTCAACCAATGCTTGAGATAGCAAACCGCCGAGCACCTTACCTTGATTTTCGTCCCCGAGAGTACTTGCACGCGTCATGAAACTTTCACCCTGTGTCTTTTCGTGAGGAGAGGTTTTGTGAGAAAGAAGCTCTTCGACACGAGTTTTCCATTTCCAATACTCGCGAAGACGACTTTGATGTCGCTCCACAAACTGAGAGAGCTCGTCAAGACCATACCGGTAGAGAAGAATCTGGTCCTCTACTACACAACATGAACACGACTGGTAGTGCTCCAAACATAGCATGGCTAAATTAATAAAAGAGAGGTACAAGGTTAAAGGGCCTGTAACCGGACGGTCAAGACGAACGAATAGAGCCAAAACATATGCACTGATGAAGTTGAAAACTTGTATCCAAAAATATATGATAGACAGGAAAAAGGCACATCATAAGCAAGCGGACACACCGCTTACATTATGAGCGCCCGGGGCGATTTGTCTCAATACTACTTTAAGTAGCTCTATAAAACGAAAGGAAATTAAATTCTGGAGAACATACAGGTCCACGGAATTTTTAAAACATGTCCAAGAAGGTGAAGATAAATTTGATTCAAGTCTAGATAACAAATGGGTCATTATAATATCAGCTCGACGAACCTGTACCAGTAAAGGGTACCTTCGGATCAAAGTTTGAATATCATGGACCAGTTATGCAAAACTAACAAGGAACCTATTACCAATGCATGGATAGCGGCACTTAAACAGGGCTCACTTTTGGAGCAAGCACAAGTAAGGGCAGAAGTGAAGAGAGTGGTCTTGCACAGCTGACATTCACGAGTTTCCTCATTCCGCGACTCAAAGACAAAGCGCTCCGTCCGTCGCACGCCAAGTCGGGCCAAGTGTCGACGTAGTGAGCGCTCTTTTGCCAAGAGACCACGCAGCTGATCGGTAATGATTACCAGAAGATTGACTGGTACACTACCCGACTCCAAACTTGACTCGGCCAGGCGACAGAGGAGCTCCGCGTGGGAAAACACAGGCGGCCGATGCAACAAAGCATAGTGATCTACACAATCGCGCCCAGATGGGAACTAAGAAATAGGAATAGTAAACTTTATAGGCTACAGGTATTAACAAAATCCAGGATGTGTTAGTTCATATGATTTACGCATCGGATTATTCGGCCTGGGTGAATCAATGAGCTTAAATCGACTCTGAAGAGAATGTAACAGAATTAATTGAACATTAGGGCATAATGACAGCTTCTGTTCGAGCGAAAGAAACTTGATGTTAAATTGGAACAAAATGGGTTCCTTAAAGTAAGCTACATAAGCAGAGTTATGAGAATTCATGGTGATTTATTGAAGAAAACTGAAACAAGAATACATGCATGCAACATGACACAAAAACGCAAGCCTGTCAAATGAAGACTTGAAGCCGCTATAACTAAACCTATTTCGACGCTAAGGTGAGTTGAGATGCTTGAATGTGGTCAAGCAGTCAATGAAACAGATACAATAAGAAGTAGGTAGATATTTACCCACGACGCGGGACAAAAATTGACCGATTCCGCAAAGTTGAAACCATTGTTGAAACTAGCATGATAGGCTCGAGGGAAGGTGACAACGAACTCCCCAGCTAGCTGATTCAGGTAGAAGACAGGGACGCCACGAAGCAGGAGGTGATCAGGAGGATACAAGGTTGTAACATGATGAAGTAGATCTGGAGAATGAGCAAAGGGTTCAGGGGCCATTGAGCACAAAACTGCCTCAAAAGCATCAGCAGATGTTTCTGGTACACCATACCACGTTCTTGGTTCGCCCCTAAACGATAAGTTTATTAAAGTTAAACATAATGTTTCAGGCATCTAACACATTTAGTTTAAATAGCGATGCGGCGAAGTGATGATCATTGAGTGATACGCGTAACATTGACGCGCTAAATGACCAGCCAGTAAAAATTGCACGATTTGTGTATAGTAACTAGAATAAAGGGAATAAACCAAATAATGCCAATGATTTGCCAAAAGATATGAAGGGAAAGAACCCAAACAAAATATAGAGCAAAAGGGCAGACTAGTGTAAACACACCAACGAGTAACGACGTACTTATGTAAATAAGTAATGGAAAAACTCCAGTGATCTTCTGTTTGCCAACAGGAAAAAGAGAACATCATGCCAACATGGTACCGTGGGACCTTAAAATATAACACAAGGTATACATTAATGCCACCAATAGGTACGAAAATTTAAGCAGTAAAAACTTGCCTTCATTGCTGAAATATTGGCTGGTAAGTACCGCAGGGCCGAGAGTTCGTTTGTAGCAAAATTATTGAGATTCCAAGGAGAGGTTGAATAATCAATTGCTACGAAGTGATTTCGAGTGGTTGGAAAGCCAGATCCAACTCCGGACGAACAGGGATCTGTCCCATACTCCACAGTCACATCGCATTCGCCATCGTTCATAAGTCGCCAAAACTCCTCTTGGACTTCGGCTAGCGCAATAGTCTTGAGTTGATAAGTAATCATCACAAATACTTACTTTTAAGGGTTTGTTGAAGAATGACCTCTTAAAGCTGTCAGCCAATTCACCAAAACGGCGAAGAGTATAGGACGTGGATGAGGTTTGAAACCCGTATTCGTCTACAGCGTTAATAGTATCCAAATGCTTTGAAAAACACTTTGGGCAAAGCCAACGGTTTTTAGGGATGTGCGAAACGGGAACATCAAGGCAGAATGTATGGTATATCCCCGCGAAACGGCAGTTATCACAAACTAGCAATTGTTCCGGTTTACTTGATTCTTCACATCTTTTGCAAACTATTACGTCTGTCTAAAGCAAAGTTACTTTAGAAAACGAGGATTACATTGGTTTTGAGAACTTCTGTACAGTGCGAAGACTTCCCGATCAACTGGAAATCCGTAAAAATGGGAAAATCCGAGAAACCTTACCCTATCAATTCCTGATTCCTCAAGATAAACTTCGGGAGGTAGAAGGATTCTACGATATACATCACAGACAGAAGACGCAACCGCAGTCGTAGTGTCGAACCCCAACATTTTGGAAATTTTCAACCATTCATTTTTACGACAAACTCCTTCAAACCCTCCAGAACACTTAACGGCTTGCCATAGTTTATAAATATCAAGTCGCTTCCCCTCGATAAACTCTGTGTAAAGTTCAACACCCTGAAAACGGATATGTATCAACTTAAATGATTTTGAAATACCTGTTGATCCCAAAATCTTATGAGCGATTCCAAGAAACACCGTCTTTTTTCATTATTGACGGAAACATCTGAAAGTTTTTGTACACGTGGATTGAAAGTAAATGTAGTATCATTTAAACTAAAAGGAGGATTCCAAAACTAATTTTTTACATGTAAAATTGAAAAGCGACAGGCTTACATCTGGAGGCTTTATCTTGCAAATACCATAGCCGACAGCATCAGGGTAAATTTTTTGGATATATTTAATAGGGTCATCGAACTCTTCACGTGTCGGACAAAAGAGGGGAGCCCCCAACAAAATAGACTGCTCTGAAAACGCCATTGCAAGCTACAAAATGGCCTTGAAAACACAAGAATTCATAAAGATTTGCCGCTAACATGTAATTGGTTCATATTTTTCAGAAAAAGCCTTCACTGTACGAAAAACACGGTGCAAGTAAATTTTGACTGTTCACCCATTTATTCCTTTTAAAAATTTTCTACTATTCTGCTGTGCAACAAAATTAGGATTCGCTTAAAACTTTGAAACAGAAAAGCTAATAATGCAATCTGTTCACATTGATGAAAAAATAATAGTAATCGATTAAAATGGCATAATTCAAAAAGACACATCATCGATACCCGATTCTAAGCACACCATATAGCTCGGAGTCATTCAAAAAGACCTTTTATCTTTTCATTAGCCGTCATAAATTTCCTAAAAACATGGGGCATTTTTGAGCTGGTTGCCATGATTTAAGTGATTTTTCTTTACCATCAAACTGCAAATCCATTCTTAGACTTTACATAAATTACGAAGCTAACCTATGTTTCGTCGACAAATTTATTCTCAGTGTATTTTTGGATTACCATAGAACGGCCAGGTACACTAAGAAAGCCAATAACAACAATATTGGGCGTCTACAAATTTGTGTAAATGCTCTTCACATTAGGTAACACAGTAAATCATTGCGAAATTTTGTTAGTTGTGTGGAGGTTAATTCACCAGTTGTGCTTTCACACATCGACGACGTTATGATAGCCGCCTAGTATTAAGAGTAACACAGGAAATAATTGGAACATAGTACCTGGCGTCTAAGCGAGAACAGACAAATGACTAGCCAAATGAAGTGCGAAATAGCATTTCATACTTATAATATCTAGGCAGCACCACCTAAATCAGTGGTCTCAGTCAACTGGCATCAAAATAAAATGAATTTACGATTCAGCAGCCTGAAATTCTTCCAACCAACTCGGACGTTTTTGAGTACGATCAGTTACTGTCGGCGTCTGTGGACTAAGATAAATCAAACTCTAGTTCTCTCGCCCAATATTTCTAAAGAAGTTGACACCAAAACGTTATGTGTGATTTATGATGGATCGAGACATTCAACAACGCAAACATAATTACGACTCAATGCCATAAACCTAGTCCATCGATCCGGGTACACTTTGTCTTCGGAAAATATTGCAATACTTACGTTGAAGTTTTTGCTTGGTTTAGCCTGAGGCAATAGTAAAAACACTGAAACCTTCGATATTGATAATCACGACATCTGATTGGAAAATATTTGATATTACAAGTAATACTGGTAAAACAGATACAGATTTCTAATTCAACACCGTTTCAATACCTCACTCGACTTATGGGAACGAACCGCATTCGAACTGCTGTCTGTCATCCTCGGTTAAGCAGCGTAACAACATGCTTGCACCGTCAACTGAAGGCTGCTTTAACAGTCCAAGGAGGCGGAGGCACGACTCACCGTTCGACCTGGAAGACATGGGCTGTTCAACGCCGAAATTGGTTTTTGGAACAACAATAAGGTCACATGGGCATTTTTTTCTCGTTCGCATCCCAAGAGTCATTATCAGACCCACACACGCATGTTAATCGTTCGCGTGAGATAGTGGCCACACCAAAACTCACCCAGCCTCTGCTACCAACTCTAGCTTCTTCCATTCCAAAGACACTGTTCTCCTGATCCCATTTACTTATTTGACACGACACAACACGCCAGTCACCACAGCTGGTACAAAATGAAACCCTCAGAATGCTCAAACGAGTGAAGAAACAGAAGTGGGCATTTACATGGACCGCCTGTAGCCAGCATTCCTTGACACGGAGGCGCGGCCAGGCCACAGGCCTCTGTCTGAGCCAGCTCCTAGTCTTCCCAACCACCAGCTGCGTGAAAGCCATGCCGTTACGGGACTTGGACAGAAAAACTCAACCACGTCAATCACCCTGGCACGAGCTCCTACACAAATCTACCGATTGGAGAACAACGATTCACCTCCAGCTTGAAATTAACCTTGCAGATACCCACTCAGCAGCAAATAAAGGGTGATAACGCCAGTTGGCGTATTACAAAGGCTCGTCTCCAGACTTCCACATCTCAACTGCATCAATTTGCCCTAACCACATCTCGGCCACAAACATTTGCGTCCCACCATCATGCTCGCGACAAATCTTGTGGGTACTCAATTCAAAAAAGACCTGCACATTCTGCTCGCTATGGAGGTGTGCTCAATTTCGTAAATGCTCCCTCTCTCACTTCGATCATCTGCCTCTTAGTGGATTACCACGGAAGGGCAAATGGACAACAGCCGTACGAACTAGTTTACCTTAACCTAAGTAGCACGTGATTCACCCCTTCCCTTCATTTGCATCTGTTCGCAAGTGCTCCCTGCACACGCTCACAATGATTGCATGCCCGGCGGGCGCAAAGACGCCTTTATCCACCTGGTCGTGCCTCCTTATTGCCACCTTTGTTTTGGGGCTCTTTAGGTGCCAACGGACATTAGGTTTGTAATGAAGCTTTCACAATGCCACATACTCCTGCTTAATGTCTCACACTACGACTTGGTTCACTGACTTGACTATCTGTCGTACCGTTTACTCGCAGGCATGCTGGCACGTATCACTACAGCTAAGATAGCAAGGGACTGTAGTTTAGCAAAAATACACCTAATCGACACTGGACCTTTGATTTCTCTGGGTATTTCGTGTCATCATGTGGTGTCCCCCCTTGAATTCGGACCTTGTCTTTAGCATGGATCACATTAAAACACGAACAGGCGAGAAACATAGAATCGTAACACTAAGCACGTATGTGTCGTCAGTCACAATGACTGGTTAGAGTTTTCGCGGGACAGGAGTCAATTGGAAGCTCAAACCACCCAGTTCATGCCACATTAAATGACTACCCACATTAACCAGCCTTTCATTGTGCTCTCATCTTCCACTCCAACCGTTCAATCAAAATACGCTTCAGTCTGACGCCACTTTTTGGGCCTTTGAAGATCCACAGCTAAAGATTCTTCACAGGCATCTTCTTCGTGTTGCCCGAAACCATCGTTAACTGTGGTGCGTGAGTGAAAATGCTTCATCTCGTGAAAATTGAACACATCTACATAGTCTGCCGTTCTCCTCACTACCACACACAAGTGCATTTCCCCAAATCCAACACATCTCTGCAAGACTTATCCTCCTTGAATGTCATTTCGTGCTGAGTAAGACACCCGATTCGATTTCAAGTCACACCAAATGAACCTTATTCTGCAAGAACTCTCTCACCAGATTGTGGACATTCTTCTCACACCTTCACTGCATTAACATCTGCGCTCTCTTCAGTAGCATTAACCTCAGAACCTAATCTCAGTTAACAACAACTACACTTGTGCTTTTTACCCACCAGCGACTTATTGTAGCCGTAGACACCACCAATTCACTTTACCAATGCGGCTTGGGTGGCGTGTCGAGCAATTTAACGGACACAGGACTAGAAAATGACTAAATTTGTATACAATCAGGAAGTAGTTAGAAATACTTACTGACAGCTGAAACCGAGGCTTTTACAGCCAATACCTTACTAACACAGTAATTGCAATTAAAGCACATATACTCCAAGCAATACCAGGGACGTTCAATACGGCCTCGGCAAATTCCACTGAAAAATAAGCTAAGACGAACTTGATGTCGTGGTATCTGAATATAAACTTTAGTACTATTTTGCTGCAAGTTATGTTGCACTAGCAAGGATGTAGGTGAAATTCACACTTACTTCGAACATTTTAATTTAATTCGATGACATACAACCTCTAACTACACTCGAAGTTTTAGATAAATGAATTTTTGGTCTGCATTTTTTTGCTTGGCTTTTTGAATAGCAGGATTGAATGCCACTTGTACCCTTTTTTAATCGCTTGGTACGCTGATGCATGCGCTCAACGAGACAGAGGAGTCAAACTAGAGACAAGGAATTACAGTTACGTACAACGCAAATCTTAAACTAGAACATTTCTCTTTTTACACCGTTTACATTTAGATTGGTGAGTAATAAGAAAAGTACCGAGCATAAATAGCATAGAAGTACCCGTAGTAGCAAGCACGCCAACCCTGAATGACCGGCCAATCCGTCTTCGGAATTGAAGCCCGATGACCATACCAACCAACCCTTTAACAGAGCTTGAGACGACCAGAACCAGGAGAATGCAAACACAAGCATAAGTGAATAGACATCGCCAAACAGGAAAGTGGGTAAACAAGGTCGGTCGTTTTATTAGAAAACTGGGGAACACGATATACAAAACTAGAATTTTGCCAAGCTTAAAAATTGGGGTCTTATTGGAACAGCAACTTAAGCATAGACACATTTATGGCCTTAAAAACGTAATTTTCTATAAAGTGTTATCAAATGCCTCACGAAGACGAGAAGGTGATGAGCCACCACGGTACCTTGAAGCAAGGGGGCTCTCACCAGAAAACTGCCCAGCAGTGTCGCCATAAGGCGGAGTGTACCCAGGCACCCTCGGTTTCGGTGGTGACCGGCGGGTCACAGAATCCATAAAACTTCCGCCAGGTTGACCATAGCCTTGGCTCCACAGTCGCGGTGTGCTTTGTGAGGACGCAGATCCGGGGTTGGATAAGAGGGGGAGGTTCTTCTGGACAGTCATGTTCTCAGAGGCATTGCCGTTTAGAGTCCACACGACAACGCGAGCTACCAAACATCGGAAAATGAAAACTCATACAAGATTGACCGAAGATTAACCGAAGTTAGACCCAGAAAGTGATGATTATAATTTACCAACCGAAGCAATTTTAGAATAAGAGTAGCGGCAAATTCCCAAAAAAAGCATTTAGTTGACGGACGTATCGATAGACACCAACAATCTAAGTAAACATCAAGCCAGTTTTGTTAAATCGGTCTAAGGGTAAACAGTAGACATAACGACTAGTCAAGACTTACAGCCAAGGAGAAGCAAGATAGTCAGAAGTACGAGGAGTAAGTAGTGGAGCCAAGAAAGGGTGGGCCATAACCCTCGCTCTCCAATGACGTCACCCTCATCATCTAGCGCTACATCTGACAAATCGACGTCGCGGACGCTACGAGTCTTCACACGGATCGGCACGGATACGTGCTGGCCTGTGATCTTCAAACTTAACACAACTTCAACCGTCATGTCCATAGCTGCCCAAAAAGGAAATTCATACGTCATTAGTTTCATGAACCTAGTGGGTAATATGACAAAGTCTGCAGTCGGAAATTACCGAACAAGGAGTAAATGAAAATGATGGTGACTGTATCATCGCTGGAGTATCGTAACTGATGTCAGCATTTCAAACTTCATCCAAGAGGATAAGCACAGCTCAAGTAATTCAGTAGGGTCCACTTCATATTTCTAACAAAAACTTGGCAATCAACTTAATAATTGCTGAGCGCTTGTGCAATCACATAACTCGGAATAACATTTGACGCTGTTTGGAACACGCGCCTCTTTGGCATTGGTTACACATGTCGTCCAAACAAAACATGGGACTGTTGTGGACCGCGTTATTGTGCAGGGGG